GTGCCTTTTTCGCTCCATAACTTTAACTAAAATGACAGTTTTCCAAACCAAAGCCCTTCTAATTATTAAATTCACTCAGTGACCAAAATAACGTGTCCAGATATATGCTAAACTACCGAGTTAAATTTCGTCATGAAATTTGTTTGAAGGACTTGCCATACTGTATTTTGACCGACAAACCAGAAATTTTATGATATATCCTCATTTGGTTGCGACCACGAGTACTGTGCGAAACAGTCCTTTCTCTCAAAAATGGGTCCCTAGCCCTCGGCTACTCTTCGTCCAACCAACTCGCTGCTTGCACCCTTTTACCCTTATGGAGACTCGTTGACGGTCATATACGTATGCTTGCATCGTTTACTCGAGTTACCTTTTCTATCCTCTTCTTTTCCAAAACGCAGGCCGTCTTTGGCGTTCCCCTTGAAACGGCCATAGAGCGCAGTCCCAGCCACGACGGCGTCTACCTGCCAGCCTTCTTCCGTCAATGTGTAGACTTTATTGAAGAATATGGTCTGGCCACCGAGGGAATCTACCGGGTACGTTGTTATTGCCGGCACAACCTTTTCTCTTAATGCACGTTCGCATAACTCCTTCCCTCACTCCCGCCCTTCACTGCTCGTTTTTGTTCTTCACGTAGGTGCCCGGCGTAAATTCACAGGTGAAGGCCATCATTGATGCGCTTAATCGCGGCATCGAGTTCCCTGACATCCCACCCAGCTCCCCCACCTACGCCTCGCCTTCCCCCTGTCAGCCTGCTCGGCGTACATCAGGTGAATGTCGCCTCTTTGCTTTAGTGTATTGTTGATAAACCAGTTGAACATCGACCTTTCTGTTTGCTGGTGTAGCCGTCTCTTAACTTGCCTATAAAAGTAACTGATCTCATGAAATAAAGGACTACATTAGCTTGAGGTTTCGGATTCGGTCTCATCGTCATCATCATCGTGCCAGATATTTCCCTTTGATGGCACAATTTATTGGTTGCACACAGCTGTACCATTAAGGTCTGAGACCTCATGACCGGTGTTATCGATGAATAAAATAATCTTTTACCTTACCATTACTGTGACTGAAAGCGATGCTTCTAACATACCCACCGTATGAGAGCTCTGTCCAGGCAAAATATCGGCTCATGCGGGCCAGAGGCATGACTTGAGCAGCTGGAAATTCATGTGTGGATTTGGCCCTAGCGGAACTGGAGGGTGTAGGTCAGTCCCACAGATTGAGTCGCGAACTGAAAACTGACGTCCTCAACCTTCACTGCAGATGCATGTTCTGCCATCCGAGTCATTTAATTATCTTAATGACAGTGGTCATTAGACCTTATTATTC